GTAAAACCCTATTAGATGAGAATATATGTTAATATTGAGTTGTCCTTTTTGGTCTTTTATGTGTATATCGTAGATACATGTTCTAGGTTAAATCCTTGTGTATAAATACAGCTCTAGGAGCTTAAGAAGTAATCAGAGAAAACTTTTCCAAACTTGTGTGTTTCTCTACATGGTATCAGAGCCAAACAAGGCTAAACTTTTCTAAATAATTCTCGACCATGGCAGAAGATGATGCGGCGAGGAACCCGGTGGCTGCGGTGGTGGCTGAAGCCGTAGTTTCGAAGCGGCGCACGATTCATCCTTACGATCTGTCGGCGAGTGATAATCCAGGGACCTTGATATCGCAGGTTCTTCTTAATGGGGATAACTTTGAAGATTGGGCTCGTGAACTACGAACAGCGTTGCGTGCTCGCAAGAAGTTCGGGTTTGTCGATGGATCAATCCATAGACCCGCTGAAGATGCTGCAGAGATTGAGGATTGGTGGACAATTAATTCATTGTTAGTCTCTTGGATCCGGAACACAATTGATCCGTCTCTACGTCGTGACATCTCACACTTTGAAGTTGCTAAAGACTTGTGGGATGATATAGCGGAGCAATATGGGGTGGTTTCTGGACCAAGGATTCAACAATTAAAACATGAGTTAGTGACTTGTAAGCAGAAGGGTTTGAGCATCAAGTCATATTATGGGAAATTGAAAAAGCTATGGGAAGATCTTTCAGATTATGATAAGGAGGATCAATGTGTCTGCAGTACTTGTTCATGTGATGCTAAGGGACGTGGAAATCGGAAGAGAGAGAAGGATAAAGTGCACCAATTTTTAATGGGGCTTGATGAGTCTACTTTTGGGGCACTTAAATCAAGTCTTTTGACTCGTGATCCGCTGCCCACCTTAAACCAAGCGTTCTCGATTGTTCAAAGAGATGAGACTATGAGGATCGGGAATAAGGAGGTGGAGGTGCGACCTGACGTGGTTGGATTTGCTGTTCAGACGGTTTCACGTGGACGTGGAGATTACAGAGATAAAATCTGTAGCTTCTGTGGCAAGAAAGGACATGGTGAAGAGAGATGCTATGCGCGAAACGGATATCCTGTATGGTGGAAGGGTGCTCGGGTTGAAGGAACAACACCATCAAGACAAGAGAGTACTTCCGCTTTGATTCTACCTCATGGAAAGCCGGTGGCTCATGCTGTTGGACCCATTTCAACGCCTACCACAAGTCAGGGTGTTACGATTTCTCCGGTCTCTACTCCTGGTGGCTTCACGGAGGATCAATGGAAACTCCTTTGCAGCACCTTTTACACCGGAAAAACAACGGCCTCTGAAACTCTCACGGGTAAGACTCTTAAACTTCCATGGATATTAGATACGGGCGCGTCAAATCATATGACAGGTTGCTTAGATATTATGACAGAGGTTGTTGATATCTCACCATGTCTTGTGGGTCTTCCGGATGGGAGATATTCTATAGCAACAAAGAGAGGAACAGTGACTCTTGGTCAATTTCTCTGTTTGCTACATGTGTTGTTTGTTGAAGGGTTGAATTGCCACTTAGTATCAGTTTCTCAGATGATTCGTCAAAACAAGTGCTTTGCTCACTTTGGTCCTGGTTTTTGTGCTATTCAGGACCGTTCGCGGATGCTGATTTGAAGCGGTGAAGAAAGAGATGGTCTCTACTATTTTCGGGAAGTGAATGCAATTCGGGCTGTTGGCTTACACGTGAATGTTACGGTGGATGTGTGGCATCGGCGTTTGGGGCATCCATCTTCCAAAATTATTTCTTTAATTCCTGGTGTTAGTAGTACTAGAGAAGTTTCTGATTCGGTGTGTGAAGTCTGTTTCCGCGCCAAACAAACAAGAGATTGTTTTCCTTCGAGTAATAATAAAACAATAGAGATTTTTCAGCTTATTCATTGTGATGTTTGGGGTCCATATCGAACTCCTGCGTCTTCTGGAGCTCGTTATTTTCTCACTATTGTGGATGATTTTTCTCGTGGTGTTTGGTTATTTTTGATGACGGAGAAAAGTGAGACTTCAACACATATCAAACGGTTTCTAGCAATGGCTTCACGACAGTTTAATAAAGAAGTAAAAACGGTGCGTAGTGACAACGGTACCGAATTCTTATGTATGAAAGATTATTTTCTTGAACATGGAATTGTTCATGAGACTTCTTGTGTGGGAACTCCACAACAGAATGGGAGAGTAGAGAGGAAGCATCGCCACATTTTGAATATTGCTCGCGCACTCCGTTTTCAAGCTAGCCTTCCGATTGATTATTGGGGGGAGTGTATCCTTGCTGCTGGATATCTCATTAATAGGACACCCTCGATGGTACTTCATGGAAAAACACCATATGAGATTCTTAATGGTCATTCACCAAGCTTTGAACACTTAAGAGTCTTTGGGTGCCTTTGTTTTGTTCATAATCAACACCGCGACGGTGAAAAGTTTGCAAGTCGTTCTCGTAAGTGTGTGTTTATGGGATATCCCTATGCAAAGAAAGGATGGCTCGTCTATGATCTTGAGGCTGCGAAGTTCATTATTTTCCGGGATGTAGTTTTTTGTGAGAACTCATTCCCGTTTGCAGAACTCCCATCTCCACCAATTTTGGAGATCTCACCTGACGTACCGTCTTTATACCCGGATACCGACGATGAGGAAGAGGTGGAGGTTGTGACGACGAATGGTGTACCGGCGACGGTGATAACAGAACATGAGGAGCCGAGTGGAGATGACACTCTTGCGTCTTCTAGTGAAACCTTATCTTCTACTACGGACACTATTGAACCTTCTCCGGTGGTGGAGGAACTTGGTAAGGGCTGTAGAAAGAAGCTTCCTTCCGTTTTATTAAAGGAGTATGTTGTTGAAAAACCAAAGAAGCCGGGTCCTTCTTCAGCTCTTGTCGTCTACCCTATTGCTAAATATGTGGATTCTCATAGATTTTCAGCTCCTTATCAAGCTTTTCTCGCGATGATTGAGGCTAATGTTGAACCAAAATCATTCGCTGAAGCAATGAAGGATGAGAGGTGGCGTATGGCTGCACAACATGAGATTGTTGCTTTGCAAGATAATGATACATGGGATCTTGTTGATTTGCCGAGGGATAAGAAGGCACTTGGATGTAAGTGAGTTTTTACGATTAAGTATCGTTCCGATGGTTCTATTGAACGATTTAAAGCTCGTCCTGTGGTCTTTGGAAATCGTCAAACAGAAGGTTTGGATTACAAAGAGACATTTGCTCCGGTTGCAAAGATGGGGACGGTTCGTATTTTTTTGCAAGTAGCAGCTGCCCGGTCATGGGAAGTACATCAAATGGATGTTCACAATGCCTTTCTCCATGGGGATCTTGATGAAGAGGTATATATGAAACTTCCTCCTGGTTTTACTGCGTCCTCATCTTCGCGTGTGTGTAAACTCAAAAAGTCTCTTTACGGGCTGAAACAAGCACCACGTTGTTGGTTTGCAAAGCTTGGTGATGCCTTGACATCGTATGGTTTATGCCAATCAAAGACGGATTATTCTCTATTTACATATATCCGCGATGGGATTCAGTTATACATACTTGTGTATGTTGATGACTTGGCGATTATGGGAAATGATAGTATGGCCATAGTTCAATTTAAAGACTATTTGAGCTCACGATTTCATATGAAGGATCTTGGTGCTTTGAAATATTTTCTTGGGATTGAAGTTGCTAGGAACTCCGAAGGCATATATCTTTGTCAACGCAAGTACGCGTTGGATATTATCCAAGAGGTGGGATTACTCGGGGCTAAACCAGCACGTTTTCCATTGGAGCAAAACCATACTTTAGCTCTCTCGACTAGTGAACCACTTCCGGATCCGGAACGATATCGTCGTTTAGTTGGCCGATTGATATATCTCGCTGTCACTCGTCCGGATCTTGCTTATAGTGTTCATATTTTGACGCAGTTCATGCAAGTTCCACGCCATGACCATTGGGAAGCAGCATTGCGTGTGGTTCGCTATCTCAAAGGTACCCCTGGCCAAGGTATTCTTCTACGCTCGGATTGCGATCTGCAGGTCCGTGGTTGGTGTGATTCCGATCTGCAGGGCTGTCCACTAACTAGGAGATCATTATCGGGTTGGTTTATTCAGTTAGGAACTTCTCCTATATCATGGCGGACAAAGAAGCAACAGACTGTATCTCTTTCATCGGCTGAGGCCGAGTATAGGTCTATGGCTGACATTACTAAGGAGCTTCTTTGGATAAAGGCTTGTTTACTTGACTTCCGAGTTCCTCATTTAGCTCCAATGTCGTTATTTTGTGATAATCAAGCTGCTCTTTATATCGCCGCTAATCCGGTTTTTCATGAACGGACAAAGCATATTGAGGCTCAATGTCATTTCATTCGCGATGAGATCCAACGTGGGGTCATCACTACGCAGCATGTGTCTACAACGATTCAACTTGCAGACATATTTACCAAGGCGCTTGGTGCGAAAGAATTCTCATATTTTCTTGGCAAGTTGGGCATTTTGGATCTTCATGCTCCAACTTGAGGGGGGGTATTAGATGAGAATATATGTTAATATTGAGTTGTCCTTTTTGGTCTTTTATGTGTATATCGTAGATACATGTTCTAGGTTAAATCCTTGTGTATAAATACAGCTCTAGGAGCTTAAGAAGTAATCAGAGAAAACTTTTCCAAAAAAAACTTCGTAGTATTACTAACTATACAAAAAATGCAATGAAATTATATAATGGAAAAACGTAACTTTAAATGAATGAATGCAACTATAAAGATATAACTGTAAACTGAAAAGATACGACTGTAGTTGAACAAATATAACCGTAAATAATTCAACAAAAATTCAAAGAGAAAATTCAATAAAAAGACATAACCGATTTAAACGAAAGGTTGCGATAAAAAGACGCAACCGTTCAGATGTGCAAATGGTATTTATTAGATTGCTATTATATATAGATTTATCCAAAGATATTTTCCCTTTTAGTTTTGGATTCTTGTTGAATCGCACCATGTATATATACAAGAATCGTTTAAAGCCTAAGACTCTAGAATCTCCTCAAGGGTATGTAGCATAGAAAAATGTTAAAGGGACTCTCTAGAATAGATGACACCGTAAAACCCTCACGGGTAAATTCCTCCGGCGATGTCAGCACTAGTCCTCAGTTGTGTAGCCTTTACTTCAAAGGTTTGGTAAGCGAGGACTCATTAGCCGGATTTGGGGTTGCAATTTTTGGGAAGAAAGATGATCTCTTGCTTCAGATGAAAGGACCAATTCATCATGATTCCACCATTACACCTTTGGAGGCTGAGCTTACCGCATTGAAGCGAGGACTAACCGAAGCTGCGAGTTTGGGGATAACTCATATCTCAATCTACTGTGATTCTTATCCAATTTACGAATTAGTAAGTTTTCTTTTCATAAAAACGACCATTGATTTTTTAGGGTTTATGTCATTAGTATTGGTTGCTTTCTTGTCTACCAAGTGTTAAAATCTGAATATTGATCATGTCATAATTGCCTTGAGTGTAGGTCATGGGAAGATGCATACCAGAGGAGAATAAAACTGCCTTGCTAATGATTGATGTGCAACGTATAAGAGAAGGATTTAAGTCGAGCTTTCCGATTTTCGTGGAGGGAAATAGTGTAAGTTATGCTTATAAACTAGCAAGGGAAACAAAAGTTTCTGAAATTTCAATCAGCATACCTGTGAATCCTCCTCATCCAGCTAGGGCTACTCGCAAAAAAACTTGCAAAATCTGTTTAGGCGATGATATTAATGAGAATCAAATGTTTTGTGTTGATAAATGTCGTCATCGATTTTGTTCCGAGTGTATGAAACGACATATAGAGGTGAGGTTACTCGAGGGAAGTGTAATGAGATGTCCTCATTATCGCTGCAAGTCTAAGCTGACTTTTGAAAGATGTGAAAATCTTTTGACACCTAAAGTAAGAGAGATGTGGCAACAAAGGATCAAAGAGGACTTAATTCCTGTAACAAAGAGAATTTACTGCCCAAACCCGAGGTGCCCGGCTTTAATGTCGGAAACCGACCTCTCTATATCACCTAAAGAAGATGAAGTTAGGAGATGCTGCTTCAAATGCGGTCAAATCTTTTGCATCAAATGCAAAGTTTCATGGCATAGTAACTTGTCGTGCGACGAATACAAGAGGTTGCATCCATATCCTACAGAGAATGATGGAAAGATTAAAGCTCTGGCAAATCAGAAAATGTGGCGTCAATGCAAAAAGTGTCAACACATGATTGAACTTTCTCAAGGATGCGTACAAGTAAAGTGCAGGTATCATCTTTATTAAGTTTATTAATAACGTTTTCCTTTCGAATTTGGTTATATGTTTTAATCTGATATAGCATTGTATTTTCTTGATAGATGTGGACATAAGTTTTGCTACCGATGTGGAGTCCAGGCTGGACGTTGCCAACATGGTCATGGTCTTCCTCCTAGGCCTCCACGGCCGCCACAGCAGCCACCACCGCCGCCAACCATGCCAGTACTGTGTTTTCAGATATGCTGTTTTCCACTTTTGTTTGGTTTTATTATGTTCATAATTTTCTTAATTATTCGTAAACATTAAATTTTAGTAATTTAAGAAATTTTATAATGGTTGTTTTTTTTCTTCTAAATTTTTTAGATAAATCAGAACGCAAAATAATAATTTATTGTGTTAATATTAGATTTTTGAGATCAAATATTTTACAGATTTCTATTTCAATATTTCACCTTTTATCAATGTTATATAGATATTATCAAATTAAAATAGTTTTCTTTGTTATTTAAAATTTTCCAAGGTTAAAATTTACTTTTAAAAATAATTGGAAATCAAAAAGAGGAATGACAATATCTCATGTTTATGAATGTGAGTATAACATATATTTTGAGTGTGCCAGAAATTAAAATCATTTGTCAACAAAAGCACAAATAATGAGTATCATGAAAAGAAACGAAAAAATACAAAAATATTGTCAACCAATTCTTTTATGAGAAATACCCTAAAATACCAACTAATGTTTTTGTTCTAAACGCACCAAAACTAGTTTTTTATAATTGTTTTCTAATAACACCACAACTGGGGATGTGCCTTTAGTCAAGTGGTTAAGTCTACTTGACTTCGTTTTTCCCACCGGAGTTCGACTCCACTAAATCGCGTTACCCCGCGTAGTAGGGATTGACTATGGATCGGGCTTTGTCAATCCAAAGATGTAAAAAAAAAAACACACCACAACTTATTGTGTGATTACTTGTTTACCGTACCCTAAATAAATTACCAACCTTAATTAAAAAATTATGTTTGAGTTCCTCTTTTTCAAATGAGGAGCTAGATTTCCTCAATTAATATGTAAGATTTTTGAACCATTTTAAGATTGAATTTGTGGTATTATTATTGGAAAACAAACTAATTGTGGTATGTTTGAACCAAAAACTTAAAAATGCGATAATGTAGAGAATTGTTCATCTATTTTAGATTAGTAAAAAACCACAGAAGTTCTAGCATGAGTGAAGTAGCTAGACAGTCCTCAAAGAAACAAAAGTGAAGATATCAGAATAACAAACACATGTCTGATAGTTCTTATACTTGATTGGCCATTATTATTGTTACAATCGATTTTAAATAATATAAGAACGAACATCATTTTTAGATATGAAACAAAAGAAAAGTGTAGAGATGTAAAACTTAACTTTCATTTTATTGGGGTACCAACGTTTTTGTTCGTTGCAATATTAAGACTTTTTTTTTTTAATACGTGGGAAGTTTGGTATGGGCTCTAATACTTATCCTCCCAAATGGACTGAAACTAGGGACCTCCTTGTTAATGTTTTTGTTCTCGATCAAAAGCCATTTGGTAACGCGACATTGTTACGTACCTAACTTTGATTTGGTAAAAAAATATCAAATACATTGAAACATTATATTATAGACAAGAAAGCTAGCACGACTATTAGTTACAAATTCAATCAGTAAGACGCCTCGCTTTTTGATACAGTCGAAGTACAACCCGAAATGAATTTCCAAGAAATAACATAACATTATTCTTAGTTCTTACGGGAATCCACAAATTGTTAATTATTTACCCCCAAAAAAGAATAATCCACAAACTGTGTTTTGGAAATATGAATTAGTTTCATGCTTAGTCATGGGTATACTAACCGAAACTAAAGTATTGAATCGGAATTGAACCAAAAATCGAACTGACTTGTAAAATACGGAACCTAAAGTTTAGAACCGTTATTTTGGGTGCTCTAAAATACTTGAAATATATATCAAAACATTAGTTAATTTTAGGCCGAATAATGGAAAATGCAGAAAAAAAATCAAAAAATATCTGAAAATACCAACAAAAAAATCCGAATGGGTCCTAAACTCAAAAACCGGAAGAACCAAAACAGATTCAAAATTGTTTTGGTACGTATGTCTAAACTCTAGAACCGAAATTTTTTGAACCAAACCAGAAACTACCCTGATTTCCAGGCCTATCACTTAAAAATTAAAGTAAAAATAATTGTTAAGAAAAAAAAAAAAAAGACAAAAAAAAGGAGTTTCAGTTACGCCAAGTATGATTAAAAATTCGCTAATACATCCCCTATATCTTTGGGATATAAATTTATCCAAACATATTTTCTTTATTTCAAGTTGATAAATACACTAAGACTCAAGGAATCTTGCTTGCGGTAGCAGAGAAACATGTTCAAACAATTTCCTAGCATAGATGACGACCGAAAACCCTTACCGGAAAAAGACACTGGCGATGTTGGTGGTATGAGTCCTCATTGTACAACCTTTACTTCATGGGTTTAGTAAGAGATGACTCGTTGGCTGTATTTGAGGTTGCAATTTGCGGGCAGAAAGATAATCTCTTGCTTCAGCTGAATGGACCAATTCATGGCTCGAACATTACTGTTTTCGAGGTTGAGCTTACGACATTGAAGCTAGGACTAACCGAAGCTGCGAGTTTGGGGATCACTCGTATCTCAATCTATTGTGATTACTATCCAATCTACCATTTTGTAAGTTTAAAAAAAGCATTGAATTTTATAAGGCTTATGTCAATACTCATTAGTGTACATGATTATCAATAGCATTGGGCGGTCTTCTTCTCCTCTGGCACAGATCTTCCTGTGACCTACATTATTGGAAAATGAAATCTAATGAAACCATTTACAACCAATGCTATTGATAGAAGTCCAAAACAATACGAAATGTAACCTCCACAATTGCGTATTATTTTGGACTTCGTAGAATTAATCTGCTTTCTTCGTAGTTGAAAGGTAAAGTTGCAAAAATGGACGAGTTGCAGGGTTTTTTTTTTCTGCACAAAACCCTTAAAACAAATCTCTCTATAAATTAATATCACTTAAAATTAATCTTCACAAACATTATTAATTTATAGAAGTTTGACTTTACATGAATGAATTATCTAAGACTCGAGAATCATATTACTCTTGCAATAAGCAGAGAAAACATATGCTTAGCTCGGTAATTGCAAGTCTTACCAATTTTTGGATTTAAGATTTCCGTCTCTCTAATACTTGTATTAAGGAAATCGAGAAGATTTGCTCGGCATTTCTTTGGTCGAGGCCGAATTTTAACACTCATAAAGCAAAAATTGCATGGGCTGAAGTTTGTAGACCAAAGGAGGAAGGTGGCTTGACACCAAGTGAATTGCTGAGGTAAACAAAGTGAGTTGTTTTAAGCTAATATGGTGGATTGCTTCAAGGAAGAACTCTCGCTAGGTTAGTTGGATCCAACGGCAGTTGATTCGCCTTGATTCCTTTTGGTGTATTAAGGAGAACACAACCTTGGATCATAGATGTGGAAGAAACTTCTTTTTTATTGGATGTATGCAAAAGGTCATCCCTTGCCAAAAAAAAGATAAAACAAGGAAGAACCTAGTCACAGAGCAAATGAGTAGAAAAATATATTTTAGCCAAATTTGCATTAGGCTTTTGAAACGTTTCCACATCTTCTTTGTTAGAATTGCGTTTCAAATTTGTCCGTCCAAAACCTTGAACCAGAGAAGAATGTCTGTGGAAATATTGTTCTGGTACCTATTGTTTCTCTCCATCCAAATTGAGTAAACCGTTGCTTGAGAAACCAGCCGCCGTAGTGTCTGATTTGAGATGTTGTCTTTTAAATTCAGCCAAGCCGAGAAAGCATCCCATGAATAAAAGGTAACAGAGTTGTAGCCTAACCTTCTTGTTACTTTAGACCAAAGGGCTTGACTTACTTCGCAGTGGAGGAAAACATGTTCTCTAGTTTCCAGGAAATTATCACAGAGGATACAATTTGTCTCAATTTGGAGACCCCAATTTGCAAGCCTTAATTACTCTTGTCGGCTTTAATAATAATATTGATCTAAAATATAAAAGTACAAGTTTCCTTTGTCAATTGTTTTTCTTTATTATAATTTTGCTTTTCGGTTAGTGTTTTTCTTATATTTACCTAAAATATAGAAGCCGTACTTGTTCGACAAGTTTTGTAACACCCCAATTTCAGGAATCGGCCCGAAGAAGTGGGTGCTCACTGGTAGAACTTTACTTTTCTCTTAGGGTTTTTCTTCCACTTAGGTTATTTTTGTTCTTTAATCTCTTTTGTCGTTCGATCTCTATTAAAAGAGACTCGCATGCTCTGTTGTTATTTCACGTTTATAAAATTAAGAGAACTTTCTTCACAAACTTTGCCTTGAATTCGTTACCACTGTTGCTAGCTGATTCTGATATTGCAATAATATGCAACATATAAGACAGCGATTTGCGTCTATCTTTCCAAGTTTGGTGCCTGTGAATCCTCCTCACCAAGCCAAGGCTACTTGCAATATCTGTTTAGATGATGATGTTAATGCTAATCAGATGTTTTCTGTTGATAGATGTCATCATCGATTCTGCTACGAGTGTGTGAAACAACATATAGAGGTGAGGCTACCCGAGGGAAGTGTGATTAGATGTCTTCATTACCGCTGCAAGTCTAACTTGACTTTTGGAAGCTGTGTAAATTTTTTTGACACCTAAACTAAAAAAGATGTGGCAACAAAGAATCAAAGAGGACTCGATTCCTGGAACAAAGAGAATTTATTGCCCAAACCCGAGGTGCTCGGCTTTAATATCAGTAAACAAGCTTTGTAAATCTACTAAAGAAGCTCAAGTTAGGAAAAACTGCTACAAATGCGGTGAACTCTTTTGCATCAACTGTAAAGTTCCATGGCATAGTAACTTGTCGTGTAACGATTATAAGAGACTGGGTCCAAATCCTACAACAGATGATTTAAAGTTCCAAGCTTTAGCAAATCAGAACTTGTGGCGTCAATGTCGAAATTGCCGATACATGATTGATGAACTTTCTGAAGGATGCATCAGTGTAACTTGCAGGTATCATATCTATTAATAACATAATCCTTTCAAATTTGGTTATATATTTTAATCTGATATAGCATTGCATTTTCATCGTAGATGTGGACAGAATTTTTGCTACCAATGTGGAGCTAAGGCTGGAGGTTGCCATCATGGTCATGTCGTTCCTCCAAGGGCTCGATTGCCACCACATCCTCCATCACCGCCGCCAACTTCTGCACCTGCGAGTGCAAGAGATGGAGCATAGTTCCAAACAAATCGTTCCTCGTCTTCTCTTGTGCCCAACAAACTTATGATCTTGATTTGTTATCTCGTTTCTGCTCCGACATAGTTTGTGTCACTAGCGCACCACTGAGGTTTCAATTACTGACTTTAATTAAAAAGGAAGGTTCCCCATAAGTTCGTGTGCTCTTCTTCCTTATCAAAGCAAAACGACATATGACCAAGGCGTTCTTACATTTTTTTTAGTGTTCTAGTTTTTTTACCCATAGCCACAAAGAAAATTTAAAAAGGGTAGAAAAGGCTTTTAAAAGAGTAGTTTTTTTACGGGAAAAATGTCGTTTTATCTCCCAACTTTCAAAAAGTGGCCAATCAATACGTCAACTTCATATGTGGCCATTTAAAACATGAAATAAACGTTGACTAACGTTTGAGACATGGAACTTCGTTGACCAGGCCAAAATAGACATGCCGTTATCAGTCGTTAACGGAACTTCTAACGCCCGTTATCACCCGTAACGACTCTGTTAATCAACTTTCAAATTGTGGCCATATTAGACATCAACTTCATATGTGGCCATTCAAAACATGAACTAATCGTTGACTAACATTTGAAACATTAGAATTCGTTGACCAGGCCAAAGTAGACATGTCGTCATCATTCGTTAACTGAACCTATAACATCCGTTATCACCCGTTAACGACACTGTTAGTATGTCCAAAAAGATTTTTCCCAAATGAAAACACCAAATCCCCAAATCTATTTCTACAACAGCTCAAACAAGATGAATAGTCCTATTATCTCTATCTGCATTTCAGAAAAGCTACATTTAGTCTAGGCCTGTGCATAATACCCGAACTCGAAGAACCGAACCGAACCCGACCCGAAAAATCCGACCCGAACCCGAACCCGAAGTTTTAAAATACCCGAACGGATTCTAAACTTGACAACCCGAAAACCCGAACCCGACCCGAACTCGAACCCGAACAAGTACCCGAACATACCCAAAATATAAGTACATAGTTATAATATATTAGTAATATTTATACTTGTAATAACCTAAGTGCCAAAATTATTCGGATGTTAAGATATTTTCGGGTGTTTTAGCTACTTTGGGTTAGATTCAGGTTAAAATATTTGGGTTTTATAGATTTTTTGATTATTTTTCAATACTTTGCATAGGATCGGATACAAAATTTCTAATATTTGGATACTTTGGGTAAACCTGAATCCGAACCCGAAATACCCGATCCGAACCCGACCCGAACCCGAAGTTTTAAAATACCCGAATGGATCTTAGTTTTCTAAACCCGAAAAACCCAAACCCAAAAAACCCAACCCGAACCCGACCCGAATATCCGAACGCCCATGCCTATTTTAGTCCTATGATGGGTCTACAAGTTTGCTTCCATGATTCCTTTTTAGATTTAAAACAAATATATAAACAATGTTTGCTTCTAATTACTGGCTCTACGATTGTCTATATATCAAACCATGTCCTTGGATTATGCTTTAAACAAAAAATTTGTCCTGATTTTCTCTTGATTATTTTCAAAACGACGTCGTTTTGGATATACTAACAGAGTCGTTAACGGGTGATAACGGATGTTATAGGTTTTTTTAACGAATGATGACGACATGTCTATTTTGGCCTGGTCAACGAATTCTCATGTTTCAAATGTTAGTCAACGATTAGTTCATGTTTTAAATGGCCACATATAAAGTTGATGTTTAAAATGGCCACAATTTGAAAGTTGATTAACAGAGTCGTTACGGGTGATAACGGGCGTTAGAGGTTCCGTTAACGACTGATAACGGCATGTCTATTTTGGCCTGGTCAACGAATTTCCATGTCTCAAACGTTAGTCAACGTTTATTTTATGTTTTAAATGGCCACATATGAAGTTGACGTATTGATTGGCCACTTTTTGAAAGTTGGAAGATAAAACGACATTTTTCCCGTTTTTTTACCCATACCCATTACAATGAAAAGGATTTCTATATTCTTCATAAAAGAGCAAAATAAAAGTAAATCTTTTATGATAACCCAAAATATATTTCGAGTCATAACTGTCTTTTTATTATAACCTATTTTTAATCTATGAGACACCACAACAGTCCAACACAACCCTATCTTTTATACGTTTTTGCTTAGGGTTTTTCCTTTAACTCTCTTATTTTTTTAGTAGTTCGATCTCTATTTCAAAGAGACTCGCATGATCTGGTTTTTTAGTTCACGTTTATAAAATTAAGAGTTCTCAAACCTTTCCTTGAATTTGTTTCCACTTTTGCTTGCTGAATCTGATCTTTGCAAACAATATGTCACGTATACGAAAACGATTGGCGTCGATCTTTCCGACTTTTGGGGTCGGAAATATGATCAGATATGCTTATAAACTAGCAAGGGAAGCAATAGTTTCTGATATTAGCAGGCTTGTGAATCGTCCTCGCCAAGCCAAGGCTACCCTCAAAAGGACTTGCAGTATCTGTTTAGATGATGATATTAATGCTAATCAGATGTTTTCCATTAATAAATGTCGTCATCAATTCTGTTACGAGTGTATGAAACGACATATAGAGGTGAGGCTACTCGAGGGGAGTGTGATTAGTTGTCCTCATTACAGCTGCAAGTCTAAGCTGAGTTTTGGAAACTGTGTCAATCTTTTGTCACCTAAACTAAGAAAGATGTGGCAACAAAGGATCAAAGAGGACTCTATTCCTGTTAAACAGAGAATTTATTGTCCAAACCGGACGTGCTCCGCTCTAATGTCGGTAAACGAGCTCTCTAAATCTACTAAAGAAGCTGGAGTTAGGAGATACTTTTCTAGATCTACTAAAGAAGCTAGAGTTAGAAGATACTGCTTGGAATGCGGTCAAGTCTTTTGCATCAACTGTAAAGTTAGATGGCATAGTAACTTGTCGTGCCACGATTACAAGAGACTGGGTCCAAATCCTACTGCTGATGATATAAAGCTTAAAGTTTTAGCAAATCAGAAAAGGTGGCGTCAATGTGAAAAGTGCAAACACATGATCGAACTTTCGGAAGGATGCATCAAAGTAACCTGCAGGTATATCACCTCTATTAATAACATTCAAACTTGGTTATATATGTTTTAATCATTGCATTTTTATCGTAGATGTGGACATAAGTTTTGCTACGAATGTGGAGCCAAGGCTGGAGGTTGCCGTCATGCTCTTTTCCATATGTATCTCCCAATGCAACAACAGTCCCCGTTACCACCGAGGCCACCACTTTTGCCATTACTGCAGAGGCCACCACTTTTGCCATTACCGCCCATGGCGCATCCACCAGTGTGGCTTACCATCTTGTGCTTTGTTCTCATTTGTTACTTATTTTATATTTTTTTGGCTTCATAAAATAGTATGATCGATTTTGTGGGTAAGCCGGTAAGGGACTAAGGGATTACTAGTTACAAGAAAAATCAGAATATAAAACGAGATCTTACGATATTTTCTCTAACTCCTTTGATTTGCTAACTTGATACGATCTAGTGAATTAAAGTCTAATTTAAAATTTGCCTTGCATGGTCAGTCGGATATTCCAAAAGTAGATTTACTAATTCAAATGCAATCATATTTATGCAAAGACCATTGAATCACTTGTATATAAAATTTTCTGTACAAATCAAAACTCTCTAAAAATCTCGACAATTCTAAGGTTGTCTTATTCTCGTGAAAAGAGAATAGGAAGTTGTCTTATTTTATTTTTGGATATTAATCCTCTTTGCTATTCTTTAAGAAAATTGCTCAATTAATTATGTTAAATTCCTTTTATAAACAATTAAATATAAACTCATAATCATATAGCTAGCAGTTCAGTCATTTAATTCTTAGTTCTTTACCTTACAGTTTATTTTTCTTTACTACATCCGAAAGCAATTTAGAGTGTTTTTGTTACCCTAGCACAAACCTATTCCCACGAGTCATATATCGTACGAAGACTCCTAGGGAAAAAAAAAAAAAAAAATCTTAAAGTATGCGCAACATATATATGGAGGAAGAAGGCATTCTAGTACGAGAAGATAGTCCAAAACTCGCTGAAAAATTATCACCGGGCGACTTCAATTCTGACTCTTACAGCCTTTACTTCAAGGGTTTTATAAGGGAGGACTCACTGGCAGGATTTGGGGTGGCAATTTGCTCACAAGAGGATGATAGTGTCTTGTTTCAAATGAAGAGATCAATTCTTGACTCTACCATTACAGTTTTGGAGGCTGAAGTAATGGCATTAAAGCGAGGATTAACCGAAGCCGTGAGTTTGGGGATAACTCATATCTCCATCTGCTGCGATCATTACCAGATTTATGAATTGGTAAGTGTTCCTTGGCTGTTAAGGTTCACATGTCTTTGATTCAGTCTCGTAATGTATGTTTTGCGTTGAATGTTTTTAGGTCATGGGGAGATCTGCGCCTGAGCAAGAGAACATCACCTTGCTAATGGATGACGTGCACCGCATCAGACAGCAATTGACATCTAGCATCCCTGTTTTGATGACTGGAAACCAAGCTAGGGTTGCTTATAAACGTGCAATGGAAACAGTCGCTTCTGAAATCAGCATAAGTATGCCTGCTACTTGCTGTATATGTTTAAATGATGATTTCGAAGCTAAGAAGATGTTTTCTGTTACTTTATGCGGTCATAAATTCTGCATAGAATGCCTCGAACAAGATATAGAAGTGGGACTTCTAGAGGGAAGTGTGATAAGATGTCCTTATGACGGCTGCAAGTCTAAGCTGATTCTTAGAAGCTGTGCCCATATTTTGACACCTAAAGTAAGAGAAATGTGGGAACAAAGGATCAAAGAGGACTCAATTCCGGTATGGGACAGATTTTACTGCCCCAAACCAAAGTGCTCGGCTATAATGTCGAAAACCGAGCTCTTTGAATCTACTGAAGAAGATGGATACATGAGATGCTGCTTCAAATGCAATAAACCCTTTTGCATCAACTGCAAAGTTACCTGGCATAGTAACTTGTCGTGCGAGGATTACAAGAGATTGGGTCCAAATCCTACCGCAATGTGGCGTCAATGTAGAAAGTGCCAACACATGATCGAACCATCGATAGAACGCATTAATGTAACTTGCAGGTATCATCTCTAATCATATTCGGCAGCTATAGTATATAAACCTTATGGGAATTTGATTACATGTTCGCCTATTTAACATAGTAATTTCATCATTGATGGATAGATGTGGCTATTCGTTTTGCTACAAATGTGGAGCCGAATGGAAGCTAAAAGGCGGTTGCTATCATCGCTACGATATGATAATGAAGATTGTTTTCTTGGTTTTGTTCTTTGCCGTTATAATATTAATATGTCTTTTATGGGAGGACTACAAAAGAATTAGGCGTGGCCAAATTTTTTGATAGGGTTAATTAGGTTTTGGGTTGGGTTTGAGTTAAGTCTTTTCGGTTTGAGGTTGGATTTCAGTTTTTCTTTTTAATCATATTTAGCTTGACCTTTAATCCTAATGTTAATGCTGGTCCAATGTCAACACAGACTCCTTCTCAATGTTCTCATGTGTTCTTTGAGAATTACTTTTAGTCTCAACGGTTGGAGGTTGCCTTCACCATCACGGAATGGTTTGGGGAATGCGTACTAAAGCCTTTTTCTCCTTCTTTTTTCAGCGTTTTAAAAATTACTTGTGGATCCTCTTTGCCAAACCATATGGCTAGTGAGACTTCTTGTATCTCTAGTTTTTCTTATTCTGTCTTCATTCTTCATTCTTAAGAAATTTTGTTTATTCTTATAGTGTTCTAATTCCTATTTACCGCCTTCGAAATCTATCTATGTCTATAAGCTGCTCACTTGTCTCTGGGACATTCTCTTTAGTGATGTTTTCCAGAAGCAAAATACAGAGGAAAATGCTTTGTTCTGTTTTATTTGGGTTTAGACTTACTTTTTTTTTTTTTTATTGTCTATTATATTAATCCATCAAAAATTGATACTAAAATCAATTATAGAAATAAACTTGCGAGGCAAAGGATTCATATTTCTCAATTCTTATGGTGAGCCGCCTTATAAACTATTAGATCAGGCCTAGAGGTGTCAAACGGGCCGGCCCGCGATGGGCATCTAAATTTATGAGACCGCGGCGGGCCGGCCCGCTAGGACCGCGGGCAAAAATAATATGTCCAGGCCCGCCCCGCTAAGCCCAACGGGTTAGTGGGCCGGCCCGCGGGCTTAGTTTTAAATTTTTTAAAAATAATTAAAAAATAAAATTAATTTTTAAAATTTGAAATTAACAATTTTTCAATAAAAAAAAACTCTTAGAATTATTTTTTTTTGTAAATCTTATAATTTTATACATTAAATTTCGTTATATGTTCATATATTTCACATATATATTTTCAGAATTATGTAAAAATATTTATTTATTTATATTAATTATTTATTTTTCTTAAATATTTGTAGTCTACGTGCCGGCCCGCAAATCCGCGGACAAAACCTGTAAAAACCTGCAATCCGCCTGGACTTGTCCGCGAGGCCCGTTATTTTATGGGCATGAAAAATGATGTCCAAACCCGCCCCGGTCGTTCATTTATCTACCACTTGTGGAGCTAGAGAATATTTTTTTTCTGGTCAAGCAGATTTTATAGATAGATAGCTTCATCTCCATCAATGGAGAAATTGTGGTTTTCTAGCCAAAATGAATGATTGTGGTTTTTTATTCACTTGTTAAAACCAAGACTCTTATGTGAATCCACAAACCGTTAATTTTTACCAAAATAAAGAAAATCCACAACCTTATACAAAATTATCAATGTCACGCAGTTCCCAATGAGAATGTATATAAAAAAAAAAATTAAGGTGATAAAACTTTCCTTCATTTTCGGTATAATATTAACTAGTTTAATTTTTTTTTTACTAATTTTAAAGTTACGATTGTGTATCAGAAATCTATAAAAATAAATTTTCCCTGATTTTTTTGATTCTCACCATATACATGAATGAAAGTTACTCTTGCGATAACCAGAGAACAAGATGCTGAAGGGATTTACCCGCTCGAGCACTAGTCCTCAGTTGTGTAGCCTTTACTTCAAAGGTTTGGTTGGCGTTGACTCATTGGCTGGATTTGGGGTTGCAATTTGCGGGCATAGAGATGATCTCTTGTTTCAGCTGAATGGACCAATTCATGGCTCGGATATTACTGTTTTGGAGGCTGAACTTATAGCATTGAAGCAAGGACTAACGGAAGCTGCGGGTTTGGGGATCGATCATATCTCGATTTATTGTGATTATTATCCTGTTTACAAATTAGTAAGTTTTTTTCTTGGCTGTTTATAGTTATAGGACTTTGCTTGTTTCCTATGTTAATGCATTAATTACTAAAATTCTCTCGTCCTATTGAATAGATTTCATTTTCGGGAAGATTCGTGACAGAAGAGAATAAGATTGCCTTACTAATTGATGATGTGAAACGAATAACAGAAGGATTTAAGTCGAGCGTCCCGATTTTTATAGCCGGAAACAGTATTAGATATGCTTATGAACTAGCAAGGGCGACACTAGTTTCTAAGATAAGAATATATGGGGATCCTCCTTGCTACGTCAAGCTTGCTAAGAAAAGTACTTGCCCTATCTGTTTCGATGATGATTTAGAAGCTGAGGAGATGTTTTATGTTGGAAAATGTTGTCATCTATTTTGTTCTGCGTGCATGAAACGACATATAGAGGTGCAGCTACTTGAGGGAAGTGTGCCGAGATGTCCTCATTATGGCTGCAAATCGAACCTGACACTTGGAAGCTGTGCCCATCTTTTGTCACCTAAATTAAGAGAGATGTGGGAACGAAAGATCAGAGAGGATTCAATTCCTGTATGGGTCAGAGTTTATTGCCCAAATCCAACATGCTCGATTTTGATGTCGAAAACCGAGATCTCTAAATGGACTAGAGAAGCTGAAGTTAGGAGATGTTGTTGCATCAAATGTGGTGAACCCTTATGCATCAACTGTAGAGTTCCATGGCATAATAACTTGTCATGCAACGAGTACAAGAGATTGCATCCAAATCCTACAGAAAAATGATGGGAAACTCAAAGATTTGACAAATCAGAAAATGTGGCCAATGTGGAAAGTGCCAACACATGACCGAACTTTCGGACGGATGCATCCATGTAACTTGCAGGTATCATCTATAGAAACACCTTCTTTTGGAATTTGGTTATGTTTTTGCTCAATTAACTCACATTGTAATGTCAATGGTTGATGTATGGATGTGGCTATTCGTTTTGCTACACATGTGGAGCCGAATGGAAGCAAGGAGGTTGCCCTCATCGACAAAGGATGCATACAGCGTTTACTATTTTAGTTTGTGTTCTCGTTTTAATAATTCTTTTGTTCTGGTTAGCGTAGATTAATAACATAATCGGTTTTGTAGATTGTTCATGTTACTAAATTTTTTACTTTCCTTAACTAGATTTTAACCCGCGGTACACCGCGGGATGATTTAATTTTAAAGTTAGTATAAAAATATTTTGTAAATTGTATCTCCTTATAACATATTTATTTATATTATAGTTTACAATTGTTATTAAGTAACGGTATACCACGAGTCCACGAGATAATTATTAATAAACTGAGGATTTAACCCGTATTAAAGCGGTATATAAATATTGATTCAAATTCGTCCGCAATATAAATCATTTCCGAAATATAACCCGTTCCGTAATTTCTTAACCCGTCCTGTGATTTGTATTAAAAAAATAAGGATTAAATCCGCATTGAAGCGGCGGATTAATGATATTTTAATCTTTTTATTATTGTTGATTCAAAAACCTGTCCCGCCAAACCTATCCCGCCAAAAAACTCATTTATTTTATTAATGTTCTTATTTATGATATGATTCTGAATCATTGTCTAAATATTTTAATCGATGTAGAACGTTGAACACACATTTTCGTCAATTGGATATTATATGTCCGTTTTTAAAATTTCGAATCACAGTATATGCAGAAAAAAAATTGATTTTTTTTTTTACTTTATGTATTATATGATGATTCAAAACAGTTAAAAACAAATCACACAAAGATGATAGGAGAATTATAATTATAAATCTTAATCAAATCTTCTAAAAATCTAAATTATTAAATATAGAATATCCGGTGTATGAGTTGGGTTAAATATAACCCGACCCAACAAATTTTTTGTGAAGGAATTTTTAAAATGGGTCGGATATCCGATATACCCGAAAGCTTTTTTACCCACCCGTCACAAAAAGTGCTGCGATTATACTAGTATAGATGCATATGTCACGCAATTCCAAATGAATCCCAAAAAAAAAAACATAAAACAAAAAAGTTGAAAGAAGAGAATTGTTTCTTCTTCGATTCTATATGAAAGTGTTATATAGTGTTTGTACCTAGGTTTTAACAATAAATATGTAAGAGTTTTTAGGGAGAACGGAGCAGCTTTTTTATTAACGATGAACGAGAGAACAGTAAGTTACAGAACGAAAAACCGAAATACATAACGGAAAACCAGAAAGTTAGAGATAAATGAGCTAGACAACAATTCTCTCTTAAATTCTCTCGGTAATGACTTTAGGTCCGGGGATCCCTTTCTCAATAGTGTCTCCTGCTCTTTATAGGCTAGGAGTTGATCTAGGGTTCCCTTTGTCTCTCTTGCCATTTCTCTTTTTTACCCCTCCGAATTTATCGAGTTGGGCCGAATCGCGATGGGCCGAATCGCGATGGGCCGAGCTGATGTGTTATCGGGCCGAGCCGACATCCTGTTGGACCGAGCCGACATCCTGTTGGGCCGAGCCGACATCCTGTTGGGCCGAACCATCTTCATTTGGGCCGAGCCGGCGCGCTTGATCGGCCGTTGTTCTGATGGGCCATTTTCTCTTGTTTGCAGCATGTTTGACTTGCTCAATCTCCGTTTGAGCCGAATTAGTCATAGAGGACGAAGTCCGTATCCACATGTAGTAAACTAGGTTTTAGTCTACGGTACACCGCAGTGCTATGTTTTAAAAAATTTATGAATTTTTAAGTATATATGAAACCGATTGATCGTGTATGATTTTAATAAGATGTAGTTATTATATTTAAAGTATAGTAGTATTCGGCTTTATATGATTAAATATTTATAGAATAAGATTTTGATCCGACCCATCAAAATCACGGAGTTTTAACCGGGGGTACACCGCATGTTAATTTTTTAGTTATTGTATTTTAAATTATAATTTTCAGATTATTTGATTTTTAAATTTTCAGTTAGTTAGTATTTTATCTAACTAATTTATCATTTTGTTTGGACCTGTGGTATGAAATACATGTTTTTTTCTTATGTTTTATACTTATAGTTTATTACTTAAAATGTGTTTATTTTATTATTATTAAATTTGTTATTGGATAATATAAAGAATTTTAGATTTATTTTGTTTTGTAGAATAATATAGAGATATATGGTAGGTTAGTGTATTTTTGTTTGTTTAATGTATATACAAATTAAATATTCTTGTTTAGAAATTTATCAAATAAGACTAGTTGTTTTAAAAGTAAGAAGGTGTACGTTAATATGTCATATATATTTTAGTTCATATAATTAATATTGATATCATTTGTAACTTAATTAATTCCACACCATGATTACAAATCCAGAATATAAATCAATAAGTTAATAATTTTATTGTTGGTTTAATAGTTCAAACCCGCTATGTTAGGTCCATCTCACAACGGATTTAAAGATTTTTAAACAGCAAAAAAACTATTCTCGAAACCCGCGAAAGTATATAGTATGCACGCATCCCCTGCTTGATTTCACAAGACTTGCGGCCATTTTACTAAATTCCTTTTCTAATTTTTTTTTTTTTTTTTTTCGTCAGAAAGAAATTATATTAACTTTGAAATGTCATTACAAATTCGAGATTGAAGCCATTCTGGCTGAATACAAGAATCAATAAAAGAAGAAGATGGAATACAACCAAATTTTGCAAGATTCATTGAAGAAACAGAGCAAGTGAACAAAGCATGGTTTATCGACTCATCATGACTTCCACAACGCGGACAAATAGGGTCAATTCTCATTCCCCGTGTGATCAGTCTTGCTTTTGTGGCCAAGGCTTTAGAGAGTGTTCTCCACAAAAAAATGTTCAGTTTCGTTTTGTACGACGAGAGGGCAATCAGGTTGCTCAACCGACTTGACCGCGGCCATTATCCATCGAACCCATTTATCACAAAAACCAAAGAGACGCATCGTCGTTTCAAGGAAATCCCATTCCACTCGGTCATACGCCTTACTAACATCTGTTTTCACCGCCATATACGTTTGAGATACCCTTTTCCTGATCTTCAAAGAATTTTCTGGTTTGTGTAGCCTTAAACCCATATTCAAGAACCTTGGAAGAAAAATATGAAGCAACCAAAAGAATGGTAGAGAAAGAAGCTTGTGGAGGTAATATATTATTGTATTGTATGTGAAAGGATCTGTGCTCTCTAATTTATTTTTGTCGGTATCACTCTTCTAATTTAAAGGAAAAAACTAATATTAATAATAAATAATTAATGATATTTGTCTTGATAATATGATCACTAATAATAATATTAATAAAATTAATATTTATAATACAAACTAATATTAATTAACAAACTTAATTTTTGATTATTAATTTATGTCTTTATAAAATATTTTAAGAAATTAATATTATTTATAGGTCTAAATGTGGATAATGATTACCCAATAATTGAAGAGTGAGATACTGAAAACGAATATCAATTAAGATATACAAATCTTGAAATACTTGAATATCCAAATAGTTTAATTGTTAGTGTCGATTTTAATGAATTCTTTAATTTGAATTTTTTTTTACAAAGAAATATTTTCAAAAGATAATCACATTAATGACTCAGAAAATGAAGGAAGATTTGATTTCATTATTCTCGAAATCATTTTGGTAATATCTGTAATTAATTTTTTCAAATTTTAATAACTGATGTCAATGGCATTCATCCATAAATAAGTTGAAAGTCCAAAGGTTTTTTCTCCAAATGTACTTGAAAAATGTAATTATAAGATTTTTTTTTTTTTGGTGCGAAAATGTAATTATAAGATTATCAAGTGACTTCTATTCATTTTTTCTTTGTCGTCAAAGTTTATTTTTCTTCGTTCTTTTTTTTTTGCTTTTTATTTTGATTTTTTTTATTTTGTGCCAAGTAACTTGTAGCGTCACAAATGCAGAAATTAATAGCAAAATATTGAGAATCTATAGAAAATCTACTTACATCTTTGAAAAAGAAGAAAATCAATCAATACTAGCCAAAAACGGTTGCAAATATTACTAATTTTCCGATAATAAATTATCAGCTTCTCAAGCACGGTTACAATAGTCTCTCCTCTTTCTTATATATTTGCTCATTAACTTTCCCATAAATCTTGGGAACTAAAGACAAAACAGTCATGGATAGAGACGAAGTAGGCATGATTTCGAAGAAACGGAAGGTAGATGGAGATACACCAAACCTTGAAGGTGAGGGTTCTTTAAAGGTCGTGGAAACTCAATCTGCGGCGGCAAAATTTGAGGAAAATGTCGTCTACAGATTGTACTCTAAGGGTTTGGTGAGTACGGATAATGTGGCGGCTGGATTTGGGGTCGCCATTTGTGATCAGACGGATGAGTTGTTGTTTAAGATGAAGGAATCAGTGAGTGACGTTGAAGGAGTTGAGGTTAGGGCTTTGATTCGTGGGTTAAGTGAGTCACTCGATTTAGGGATCAAAAAGGTCATGATTTACTGTGATGATCGTGATCTTTACCGAAACGTAAGTGTTTTCTTTACTTTTGTATTGCAATATTGCTTAGCTAGTTTATTTATGCACTTTTAATCGATTTATTAGACTCTCTAAATTGGCGTGTAGATAATTTGTGTCTGGTTAATGCTTAATTAGTAGTTTAGATAACCTTTTTTCGTGAATATTTTGGCACTTTCATAATAATATATTCTTTCTCAAACTTTTTAATCTATATCATATCTTGTTTTGTGATGACGATGTCGATTGTCATGTTATCATGTCTTGGTTTAACAAACCTGAATCTGATTTGCAATGCAGATAACAACTGGTAAATGTAAACCTAAGCAGAAAAAAGTTGTCAAACAACTTATAGAAGAAGTTCAACGCCTTAGGGAGAAATTTGCTTCTAGTGAAGCAATTCTGGTTGCCGAAAACAACATTAAGTTTGCTTTTGAACTTGCAAAAGAGGCAATTGTTTCTCAAACCAACAGTGCCGATGATGATGGACATGATGGTGACAATAATGACGATGAAGATGATAATCCTTGGGCTTACGGTTGTGGTTGTGATTGGTGTATACCTGATCCTCCCGCTAAGTCCGATTTCGATGCCGAATACATTGAATATTATAGTCTTTAGTCTCTGTGTTTGGATTAGATTTCACAGTTGTTTGGAAACACTTCATATCTTTCTTTGGTTTTTTTCTTTGTTTAATTTGAGAATTTAAGTTGTAAGCTCTGCAGGGCTTTTGGATTTTCTGTATTGTTATTTGAATATTTGCACTTATTAGTTTCACATACACATTTTGGTATGAGTTTCATTTTGCACATTTTTAAGAATGTCAACTTGTTTCTTTTTCTCTTATTCCATTAAATTTAAATATACAGGTTGATTGTTTAGCCTGAAATGCTTGTATTTATCTTTATGATTTATGCGTTATGACATCATATGCGTTATGACATCAGAATTGTAAATGTTTCACTTCTGGTTTACATTTCTAAACCGTATTAAATTAAAGAATATTGTTTACAAAATAATGTTTACTTACAGAAAAAAAAAGGTAAACAAGATTACGAAAATCCTATAAAAATTGCTTCTATTTCAAAAACTCTAGCCGCTGATCTCTTGCCTTGTTGTTGTGTCCCATGTTTACTCTCATTTGATATTTTATCACTTATAGTCTCTGATTCTTTTGATTTGTGGAGCTTTCTATTCGGAAAATTTGCAAGAAACACATATCTTCTTGTTAATATAATCCAAACTTTTAATGAAAAACATAAGTAAGACTAGAATCCTAATGGGGGTCACATTAAGGTTGTAGCGCTAAGTTTTTAACATTTACCAATAATGATTGATCAATTGATCTGTAAAATTAATACGTATTGATATTTTCACCATAAAAAAGAAATGTTTTGATTCTAAAAGGAAAACAAAGTAGGATATTGTCATATCTTATTAAGAACACCATTTCTCATTTGTCAATTAGTAATTGCATGATTGCTCGAGTAATTACCCGATACACTTAATCGCAAGGTAGTATATACGGGCAGTGGCGGACGCAGAACTTTTTTTAACCTGGGGCACAAACAAAAGAAAAAAATACAAACACAAAAATAAGTTTATGACAAAAAAGTTTTTTTATAAGTTATCATAGTTCCTACATATTTTGGTGTATAAATTTGTTTGACATACATATTAGGGCTGAAATATTATTGTTGCTTTTAGTTGGAATGGGGCACTTTTTCTAATTTTTAATTAGACTTAAGGTATTTGATAGTAGTAATTTAAGTTATATGAAGAAAAGAAAAAAAGAGTGTAGGGCACGTGCCCCAGTAACTCTTGTCCTCCGTCTCCACAAGAATTTATGGTACACTAAAAATTTTCGAGACTGTTAGCTAAAGCGGAAAGGTTGTTTGTTTGTTTTTTTGAATTGTAAAATAAAAATGCAGCAAATTTAAACGATTTAACTTATGAATTTAAAGATATTGGGCCATAGGGTATTTCAGAGATCAACGAATAATGGAAACATGAGACAAGGAATTCAACAATTAAGCACCGTTCTTGAACATGAACACATTTAGACTAATTCTCTTTCAAGACATTAATCACTAAATTTGACTACTCGATTACTAAACTTTCACATGAAATTTCCTAGTCAAATTCGCATTACCAAACAAGTTCATTAAGTTCACAATGCGTCCTAACGTCAACTTTCATTGGCTAAGCATACATTGCTCAATTCACATTGATTCAGACATTCTATCGAACACTTTTGATGCATAGAAAAATCTAGAATCTACAACAGGGTGATCAATCCTATTCTAGCAATAAGAACATGTGAATCAAAGAACCTAGAGAATGAGAATTCTAAACAACAATCAATCAATCAATCCATTGAATCCCCTAATTAGAACCCTAAAACCCAATAGGAGAACTACTCACACATAGAAAAAGAGATAACAAAAATCAATGAAGAAAACATGATGAAATTGTAGAAATAACAAGATATGGTTTAGAAATCTTCTCAAAGTGTCAAGATGATGGATTCCTTTGCCCAAAGTTGTTTACAAACCAAAGAAAAAAGTTTAGAACTGAAAAATATCAAGGATAATGTCTAAAAGTCGAGCCTAGGGTTTTAAAACAGTAGGGGACGAGTCGGGTCGGATCTGGAGTGAATTGCATCAAATTTGGGCCAAGAAAACTCGTCTGGAGCGGGGATCAATCGATCCCAATGAGGATCGATCGATCTAGAGTGTCTGGAACTGATTCTTGTCCGTCAGAGGTGTGGATCGATCGATCCACAAAAGGATCGATCGATCTGGAGCTTATGGTGTCCAGTTCTGCAACTGCTTCAAATGCTCGCCAGAATGACCTGTCTTCACTAATTCGGGTATAACTCTTCAATGCACTGTTAGATTTCCTTCAAAACACTTGGAAACTCAAGCTAACATCTTCATCTAGCTTGTGTCAAAATTTCAGAAAGATCTAACGGTGGGAAGTCTTCCATCTGAGGCCAAACGTCTGACGTTTCTAAACGAAACTGCATCTCCAAATGTGTGTTTATATTCCAAAACAGCTCGTTTTCCTCCAAAGCAACGTAAAACCTGTAGAGACTCGATAAAGGACTAAAAGACTCTAAAAACACATTTTGACTCTATAAAATATATAATTTAGGAAAGAAAACAAATACACAAAACCGATAAAACACAACATACCATTGCCTATATTGGTTTGCTTTTTCTCATAAATTTAAATATAATTAAATAATTCAATTCTATTATAAATATAATCTTTTTTCGTTAAGATATTCATTAGAGTATCCAGGATAAGCTCTAGCTTCCGTTTCTTTCTCGTTTATTGTTTTCAATAGTTTTCCTTTATTATTATATAAGATTTTTAAGGGATTTTCCTTTATTTTAATATCCTTTAAGCTTAGGTTATCTTTTTTCTTTCTTACCTATTGTTAAAAGCTAATTTTTTGTTGCGTTTAGTTGGAGCCGCCTCTGCTCTATATATATATATATATACTAGTCAGAAAACCTACCTTAGGACTAAATAATCTCAAAGTTTGCACAAAAGGTACGAGAAGATGGCCCCAAAACCCATCTCACCTGACGATTCAAGTTCTGACTCGTACAGCCTTTACTTCAAGGGTTTGATAAGCTTTCAGCCAACAACGGGTTTATTTGCGGGATTTGGAGTTGCTATTTGCAGAGAAGAGGATGATGGTATCTTGTTTAAGAACAAGGGTTCACTTAATTACTCCGGCATTACAGGTTGGGAGGCTGAGCTTATGGCACTGAAGCTAGGACTAGCCAAAGCCGTGAGTTTGAGGATCAATCATATCTCAATTTATTTTGATGATCCTGAGATTTTTGAATTGGTAAGTTTTCTTGGCTGATAAGTTTCACTTGTGTTTGCTTCAATAACTTAATCGATGTTTTGCCTTGAATGATTAGGTCATGGGGAGATCTGTGCCTAAGGATGAGAAAATCGCCTTGCTAATGGATGATGTGCAACGCATCAGACAACAATTTATATCTAGCATCCCTATTCTTGTGGCTAGAAATCAAACTGATTTTGTCCATAAACTTGCAAAGGAAACAATAGTTTCTCGCCTCATCAGACCTATGCCTCGTACTGCTCAGAAGAAGACTTGTGGTAACTGCTTTGACGATGTTATCAAAGGTGAGAAGATGTTTTCCGTTGCTTTATGCCGTCATCAATTCTGTGTGGACTGCATGAAACAACATATAGAAGTGAGTCTAAACGACGGAGGTGTACCAAGATGTCCTCATGATGGCTGCACATCAAACCTGAATCTAATAGCTCTAGTTTGGCAAAAGCTTTAAGAACACAAAGATCAACAAAGAATAACTCTCTTTATTAATCACTTAGGAAAATAACTCAAAACCTAAGCACTCAATCTCTATTCTCAAAACTCATAAGTTATGCTACACCTTAGCATCTTCTTATATAGAGAAGAGTTTTCCAATTCTCAAAAGTAAAACTTACATATTTAGATAACTCCTAAATAGTACTTTTCCTAATCTCTCTCAAAGATAACTTATTGTTCAAGTAACTTCAAGCTTAGGCCAACATTCTCCCCCTTAAGCTTGAAGTTATCTTCTCTCACATCTTGAACTCCAATGAGATCTCTCATCTCTTTAAACTTGATCCTTCCAAGTGCTTTTGTCAAGATATCCGCCTTTTGTTCTTCACCGGGAACATGCTCTACTCCTACTTGTTCATTCTCGACGCATTCACGTATGAAATGATATCTTCTATGTATATGTTTACTACGTCCATGAAACACCGGGTTCTTAGTTAGTGCAATCGCAGATTTATTGTCAATACGTATTGTCACCTTTTCACAGCCTTTTCCGATGATCTCACTTAGAAGTTCTTGAAGCCAAATTGATTGTTTAGCCGCCTCCGTAGCAGCCATGAATTCGGCTTCACAAGAAGATAATGCCACCGTTTCTTGCTGCCGCAGGCGTCATGTGTCAGCGGGGGTACGT